GGGCCGAGGGGAGTGACCCCAACCCGGGCTGAGCCCCAGGGGCCGAGGGGAGTGACCCCAACCCGAGCTGAGCCCCAGGGGCTGAGGGGAGTGACCCCAACCCGGGCTGAGCCCCAGGGGAGTGACCCCAGCCCGGGCTGAGCCCCAGGGGATGATGAGGGTAGACCCCAAACTAGATTAAGCCTGTGAGGCAGGAGGACCCCTATTCAGGCTGAACCCCAAAGACCCCAAAAAGGGCTGAACTCCAGAAGTGGAACTTGCCTGGGCTGTGGGGCCCTCATTTCATTGTCCCCTTACAGAGTTTACTGGGGCAGCAGGGCAAGTTGTCAGGCCCCATGAGTGACAATGCTGGAGAAGGGAGAGCATCAGAAAAGAGGAAAGAGCAGAAAGGCAGGAAAGCAGGGGAGAGTTCCAAGGTGAGGAGCCCAGGGGAGCAGCTGCTGGGAGCAGGTGACCCCCAGGGGGACCTGGGAAATTTGTCTCATCTTCCCCATTGCAGGAGGGGAGAGCATCTGGGGCACCAGAGTGATGGTTGACTGGAGCAGAGCCAGCTAGGATTCCACCTGCCGGGGAAGGAGCACGTGCCCCTGGGCCTTGGGAGGCAAGAGCCGTGGGGCTGAGACCCCAGCACCAATGGAAGCCGCTCACTCCCTGTCTCCTGGCCAGAGATAATAATCAGGCCCAGGAGATTAATTTAAAATTAGACCCTCACTTTTCCCTTCCAAATGGTCAGTCAGTGGAAAAGGTAGGAGATGAGATGCTGCACAGGGCCAATTTCCGTACACCTCCCTCTGCCCAAGAGATTTGCTGCTGTTTTAGGGTGGATGGACAGGGAGGGAAGGAAGTGGTCCCTTTTGTTGAGAAAATTTGGATGGTGACTAGTGAACATAACACACTTGTGACACTTTTCTTCACCTGACTAGGTGGAAGATGAATTCAAAGAACTGTCCATCTACTTCCCTAAGGAGCAATGGGCAGAGATGGGAGCCTGGGAGAAAACCCGCTACAGGAACATGAAGCGGAACTATGAGTTTATGGTTGAACTAGGTGAGAGGGCCAGCTGGGGGAGAAAAGGCAACTCCAAGTGCCACAAGCAGCTGAAGATGTTGTATTTAGTCCTCCTTTAAGTCTTCCTCATTTTGGGAGGGAGGAGACATTGAGAGTTTGTGTCCTTGGGGCAGAGAGAAGCCAGAGTATAAATCCAGTATAGAAAACACTCTCACACTCTGCACCCCCCATTTCAGACCTTAGGTGAATGTGCTGGCTTCTCCATTTGCTGTTTCTGTGATGAGCCTTAGAGGCAGTTGAGGCTGCTGCAAGCCCTCTGGCCTGGGCAGTAGGAGTCCTAAGGTGCCAGGCGAGCCTCACAGGTCTTCCAGATTAGAGCACGTGGCACTGCCACCAGGTTCCCGTGCCTGTATTCCCAGTGCAAGGTGTTGGGAAGGTGTCTCACTGCATGAGCAAGACTCAGATCATGTCAGCTGTTATTGCTTATTATGGCTTTCTTTGTTAGGCCTTCCTACCCAGAAACCCGCATTTATGTGTCGTGGTCGACGTCCCCAGAACCCCATCATATACGACTCTGAGTCTGATGAAGACTGGACACCAAAACCTTTAGGTAACAGAGCAAAGAAGTGACTCTTCATTTTAATGAGCTACCATCACTGGGCATCTCCACTGATTAAAAGATCCTTGGGGGAATCAGCTCCTTGCCACATAGTCCCCAGCCTCAAAGGGCTCATGTTGACTTTTCACCCTTCCAGCCATGGAGAACGAGAAGATTCACTTCGGAGCTCCTTAACATGACACTTTAATTCACCACAAGGGTTGCAACATGAGGCTCTCCTTGCTCTAATCTGGGGCATTCAGGTTAAAAACTGAACAGTTTATTTTTTACTCACAAACATCCTGTATCAGCAGCGAGGCAGCATGAAATGTGGAACATGTACAGGGAAGTTCAAAGGGTCTGAACCACTCTGTGACACCTGCTTTACCCTGAGGCTTATGGTTTCAGATAGAGGCAAGTCAAAGGCAGCTTCAAGCACTCAAGCTGTATGTTGTTTATAAATATTAAATAATGTTATGAGTGAAGAGCAGTTTCTTACATAACAAAGCATTAGCCTCACATTCTGTCCTTACACCTTGCTTTGTTAAATCGTTACCCTGCACAGTGAAACCAGTTACATTGTAACAGCTTAGGGAGGGCTGAGACGACTTTCTCTCTATCTCTGATTTCTGTGACTCTGTGACAGTCAGAACATGAAACGGCTGCCAGCTTCCTGCCTGGGACACTTACCATTTCAGTAATGTTGGTCATGCAGCATTTGGGAACGTGTTCAGTTTGTTTGTTTGTTTTTTACACTTATAGTTAAAACCTTCAGGCCACCACGTAAATCTGGCAGTTTGAAACAGGAAAAAAAGAAAAGGCAGAACATCAGTCACGTAAGCTTACTAAGTACTTTTTGCTTAGATGAGGAATCTTATAGAGGACGTGAACCCTGTTTTTAATTAACAGATGCCTCTACAGTGACATGAAAAGTGCTTTTTATGTGCTAGTTATGCTGCTGATTCAACTAATAATTAAATAATTATTGTGACACTTCCTAGGGGTACCAGGGCTGTGGGGCACCTCACTACCACCTGCTCTTAGCATGAGGCAATCTTGTCTGTACCTGCTGCAGATCAGCTCCCTGATTCCAGGAGCCCCCGGCACCACAAGCACTCCCCTCTCAGCCTATGCAGGCTTCGCTGTCCCTCTGCGGCGCAGAGATAGGCACTTTCCAAGCCCTCTGCGTCTCCCCCTGGAGCGCACAGCCCGTTCCACTGGCCACTCACAGTAGTCACAGATTCGCTGTTCCCAAAGGCACAGGACACCCCAGTTTACCAGTTACACCTCAGATCACCGCTCTACTTAACACGCAGCAGAGGTTATAGTGAGAACAAATCCAAGTTCATTCAAATGATAGCAAGTAGAAATATTGGAAACAAATGGTTACAGATAAAATCATAACATGATTTTTAGGGCCTAGACTTAATTAACAAGTTAGGAAACACTATTTCCCTAGGAGGCTGGTGAAGCACTGGAATGCGTTACCTAGGGAGGTGGTGGAGTCTCCTTCCTTGGAGGTTTTTAAGGCCCGGCTTGACAAAGCCCTGGCTGGGATGATTTAGTTGGGAATTGGTCCTGCTTTGAGCAGGGGGTTGGACTAGATACCTCCTGAGGTCCCTTCCAACCCTGATATTCTATGATTCTATGATACCCTCAGCTTTAATAAAGTATTGATCACCAGCGTTTTTCAACCAGGTTGGCTGGGATCCCCTTTTCACGAAACAAGCCACTCCATCAGCTTGTCAGGTGCAGGGTATGCAGCCCCAAATATAGCAAAACAGTCCTTTAATCTTTATTCATAACCCAGATGTTTTCCTGCTGTGTCCCCCTTCGATTTCGGGATCCCTTGTCTTTTTCGCAATCTTGACTAGCTGGTGGCTCTGTATGCAAATAGATGTACCTTGTGAGACGCACATGACCAGCCATAGAGATTAGCGCCTCCAACCCTGCCTGAACAAAACCTATCTGAGGCCGTTCACCGCTCGGTGACCTGCCTTTAACTTCAAGGCATTAAGAACATAATTTCCAGTATAGATACCTAACTTCTTAAATATTATCCTTACATACCTTTCACAATGATTATGATGAGCTACGTATTGGCACCTGGTAGAGACCTAGCATACCACTCTTTGTGAGCTATGGTGCATATACTTGTCGCAGGGATCCCTATAATACTCTATGCCCCCTCTGTCCTCTGCTAGCTGACACAAAGAGATTCCTGGACCACAATTATCAATTAAATAATAACTTTAATGTTAAATGTAATAAATAAAACCCAGAACCTCAATCAAATGATTGTAAAAATAGTTATATACACCAATAGGATGCATATATAAGATGGGGGAGGGGAGAAAAAAGCATTTATATAAAAGGCCAAGAAAAGTTTTAAGACTGAGGATCATTTTTCAGAATATCTCAGTGGAATTGTTCAGTTTCTGCCACTGGACTCAAATACATTGTAGATAGAAACAAATTCACTTCAAGGCGGCTTCCTAATATGGCAAATTTCAGAGGGGAGATGTCTAATATAGGCAAGCCACAAACTTTCTTCCCAAATGGGAGCCCAGAGCAACATCAACAGCTACATCATGATTGTAACACTGACAGAATGCTTCCTGGTATGACTGATACGCCCCCTACTGCTTGGTAGAGCCTCTTACAATGGTAGAGCACAGAATTTTGTATTCCAAAGTAGAGCTGCCTGAAAAATAGAAATATTTCACTAACTATTTAGGTAACAATTTAAAAAAAAATTAAAACATTATGAACAATTTAACAAAAATGGAACAAGTCAACTTTGTGAAACAATTTGTTTTGTTTTTTTACAAAGACCATTTTTCAATTATAAAACATTTTGTTTAAAAGCTTTTGACTAGCTTTATACAGAAGATGCAGTATCAGATTAGGCAAATATCTAATCACCTCAGTGAAGAGGTCAGTAGGTAAATGTCTGTATTTTAAGCCTCGTAGATAACTTGCTCCTTGCCTGTCACCCGCCATATATCCTCTTTGAATTATCAAAGACCACCAAAGAGAATATTCAAGTCAAATTGTATGAGGCCCTATGATGGGGTGTGTACCCCACGCTGGCCCTGAATGGATTAATGTGGGCCTGAGAGGTGAGTTATATGACCTTGGTGCACCTGGAGGGAGAGCCAGGTGTGGCTGGCTGATCATGAAGCCCAGCTGGGCAAGAGCAGGTTGGTCAGGACAAAGAAAGGAAGCAGGCTGCAGAGAGAACGTTTATAATCATTCTGGGGGACTAAGGAGATGATGAGGTAGAGGCTTGGCAGGAGAATAATCCAAGCCCTGATATCCTAGCAGGAGTAGAGAAGGCTGGCAAGCAGCTGGGGCAAAGAGAGCCATGGGGAGCAGGTGGGACTGGAACTGTGCCCTGAAAGAAGGGATAGATTTGGAGTCAGACTGCTAGGGAGAGGAGAGAGTGCTTTGGATGAGGTTCTGTGGAGGAACAGAGTAAGAGCCTTAAAAAGCCAAGCCTGAGAGAGGCTGGCTAGGAAGGAGCCCAGGGAAACAGCAGCAGCAAGGAGTGGAACCGCACTGCTGGCTAAAGCAGGGGTAGGGAACCCTTTTTCTATCATGGGTCATTGACCCACAGAAAAAATAGTTGTGGCCCACATACAGCCCTGTGGGGGGGGGGAGTGCTAAAGCTTCCTGGCCCCGGTGGGGCAAGCAGGCATTCGTGGGGGGGCACTGAGGCTCGGGGCTTCTAGCCTGTGGTGCTGAGACTTGCCGTGGGCCAGAGGAAATTAAGCAATGTGCTGGATCGGACCTACGGGCTGTAGGTTCCCCACCTCTGGGCTAAAGGTTCCTGGGCTGGGACCTGGTGTAGTGGGAGGGCCCAGGCTCCCCTATCAGCCACTGGCAAGGTGTCATGAGCCCAGAGAAGGGGACAAGGACATTAGAAAACTTTGAGGAAAGGATGTGAGGACCAGAGGGCTCATCTTGGGGGACCAAAGACCCTTTGGTGAGGATGTTGGGCTTTCTGTTACCCTGGAAGGGGTGGACTAAATTGTGACCTGGCAAGAAGGCCAAGTTATGGGAAGAGAGATCGCTGCGGTGATGGAGCAACTGTCAGCAGGGGGTGCCATTTGGGGAGAACTGCTATGCCATGTCTGACCTGGCGAAGGTACTCCATTGCTGCGGTGGTCAACCTAGTTTTACGTAGCCATCTGCTCCTTGTAGTCTTTTGTATGTTAGTTTCGCCACATGACAGGCTCTGGGTAGAGAGAACCAGAACAGTACGCTTATTATAATGGAAAACAACTTTGTGTGCAGAATGAAAAGACAGTGCTGGAGAAGGCCTCTGAGAATCAGACAGACACTGAGAAATTGGACAAAAATTCCGATGTGGGCACCAGAATCCCTGTCACTAATGTTGTTGATCTGAAAACTGGTAAGCCCAGAACGTGGGGAAATCTCCTCTGTATTTTCATGGTAGCTCTGAGGACTATTAGGTCTGCAGCCTATGAGATTTGGTGGGAGGTGCTCTAGTGGGACACGTAATTCTCATTATCTGTAGAAACATGGAAATATCTCTCATTATAGTGAAGTCTAATTCAATACCACAGCTATTCTTACTGCTGCTTCTCCCTTTGAGCTCTCAGTCCCTGAGAGCTCATCCTTCAGCACGTAAGAGCACAGCCACCAACATGATGGGATTCCCTTCAAATCCCTGTCATGCTGGTCTTTAACTGGTTGCTTAGGGTACTGTTGGGTGACGCAAGGCAGGGTGAGCCTCCATGGCACTCCTGTTGTTGCCATAGGAAACCAGCGCTAGACGTCTAACCTGGCTTGAGTCCATCTTGGCCATGTGAAGCATGGTCATCAGGACACACACTGGCCTCGTATTGCTGTTTTGCTTGGGTCTGAATTCTCGCATACCAGCCCATCGGAGGCTGTGGGCACTGAGAGCAGAGGACAGGGAGCGAGACACAGATTTAAGGAGAGAATGTCACTGCTTAATCAATGATAGAAAGTGTCAGAGGCAACCGTGGTTTTCAGTGTTCAGCTCCTAGAAACTGTGGTATGGCTCATATTTATGTACGTTTTCATGTGCAAGGGGCCTGATTCTTACATATTCTGTAGCCACTTTGCTGTGTAAAGCAGCCTCCATATAAATAAGATTTAGGCCTGAAAATGCCATTGCCTATTTATTGCTATCAGTTCTGGTACTGTACAGACTAACCTACCCAGTATAATTCCCCTTTAGATCTACCCAGGTTAGCAGTTTCTAAAACCCAGGGGCAGAGCACCCAAGTTAACACATACAGCTTACGAAAGAGAGAGAAAAAAGTGTACGTTGAAATAAATGAACCACAAGATGATGATTACTTATGTAAGTCGCATAATTTCTTTCAGTATTCCTCTTTGAGCCCCAAATGTTTTTCCTTATATGCCCCCTCACACTATAGTATCTGAGCACCTCAAAACTATTTATGACTAGGAATAATAGTCTGTATCTCTTTATTCCTTTTAATCATGCAGCAGAAATAGCAGGGGGGAGGGGTGGTTTGAGATGTAAGTTTTGCATTTAATTTTGAAAGTCACCCTTATCTCTTGTGGCAAAGTTCCATATCCTGGCCTAGCTCCTGTGATGGTTCTGTCTCCCGCACTCATGAAACTCTCCTCTTGGTCAAGAGTTTCATTGTTCTGATGGAACGTAACTCTCCCATGGAGGGCTCTTAATATGAGGAGAGACCTGGAATTGGACTCTCTATTCAATAAGGAGCCAGTGCAGAGAGCTAAGCATTGTGTGACATGTTCACAGCGACCTGCATAGCTAAACAGGCTGCAGTGTCCACTTTCCACTGAGTGCTTGCTGGAGGCAATATACCACCTGACAGAAATTCTCTGAAAATGTGCCTCTGGTATGAGGAAAAACTTCAGACTCTCTTCAGCTCAGCCAATGTGCAACAGCTGGAGAGCAGCTACCTAGTATGTCACCCAGCCGCCTGTGTACACTAGGGCCTGTGTGGTGTGGTTAATGGTCTGGTATGCAGAGAGGGGCTAGGGGAGATGGAGCAGAGAAACTAACCGATGGAGTCAGTGTTCTGTTTCTCTTCCTCTTCTAGTTTGTGAGACTTGCCTGATATTCTTCATTGATGAGTGTTCGGTTCATGGCCCTCCAGTTTTCATCAAAGACCCGATAGTAGAAACAGGACAAGAAAGGAGAGCAGCTCTCACTTTGCCCCCGGGGATGCGAATTGGGCTTTCGAGTATCCCACAGGCTGGGCTTGGAGTCTGGAATGAGGCAGACACCCTGCCGATCGGAGTTCATTTTGGCCCATACGATGGAAGGATAACAGAGGATGAGGAAGCAGCCCACAATGGTTATTCTTGGCTGGTATGAATTGCCCATGACACTTTTTTTCTATTACAACACTGTGCTATGTTCTAGCTCATCAAAGTGCGAAAGGAAGGAGGGGAAGTATGCTTCTTGGCACTGAACTCCCACTCTGTTTTATTAATTCATGTTTTATTAGTATGACATTCTATCAGCATAGGGTGACCAGACAGCAAGTGTGAAAAATCGGGATGGGGGTAGGGGGTAATAGGAGCCTATATAAGAAAAAGACCCGAAAATCAGGACTGTCCCTATCAAATCAGGATATCTGGTCACCCTACATCAGCATTTCTCAGTGTCTGTTGGGGAGGTGGCATGAAGGGCTTGCTGAGGGGCTTGGGAAATGTATTCATTAATATGTTTCGGCCTTTAACACATGGCACTCTCCTAGGGGGGTGCAGTTGGTTTAACTTTCCTGATGGTGGTAGCAGGTTCAGCTTTGTTGGGAGACCCTGTTTGAAGGCCCAGGTTCTGCTTTCAGGCTTTGTCTACACTACACATCTTTTAGCAACACAGCTGTGCCGCTACAGCCATGCCACTAAAAGTCACCCATTGTAGCTGCTGTTTGTCGTCTGGAGAGAGCTCTCCTGCTGACAAAGTGCTGTTCTCACCGGCACTTTTTGTCAGTAAAACTTTTGTCCTTCCGGGTGGGGGGAAATGTTTTTTAACATCCCTGAATGACAAAAGTTTTGCTGACAAAGTGCCAGTGTAGACAAAGCTTCAGTTATACTGTGCAGCCTCCTTGATTTCATTGGGATTGTCACTGTGAGCACTATTTGGCCCTGTCTGTTCTGTGTGTATTCACACTTGCAGGATTACTTCTGAACTGTGTTCAAGACACAATGAACCCAAAGCATGACATTTGTCACTTATTTATCATATCATCTGCATGGAGAGTGCTTTATTGATTCCTGTGTGTTTTGTTTGATTTAACTCCAGATCACCAAGGGAAGAAACTGGTATGTATACATTGATGGAAAGGATGAAACTAATGCCAACTGGATGAGGTAAGTCCCTGTACTCCTATCCTCATCAGTATGATCATAGAATGTTAGCTCTGGGATAGTCAGTCAGTGTTTCAGGTGTATGAAGACATAGGATTCATTTTTACAGGCTGCGGCACACCCAATCCATCACTAAGCATGCAGTTATTTACCCAGTCCTGTTAGCATTCACAACATGATATTCTCAGCATTAAGATTGCAACACAAACCCCAAAACAAAGTGCCCACCTGGTTAGGGAGAGAGACAGCATTAGCCCTCCAATACCCAGCACAGAGTAGCATATTGAGGAAGCTTCATTCGCCAGAATTTCCTTTCTATAAAAGTTGTACAGATTTTTGGCTCTCTAAGTCATCTCACTTTCATAGACTTAGTGGGAGTGGATGAGCTTCAAAAACACCGGACATAGCTTTCAAATGTTACTGGCTAGGCTCTGAAAGCTCCTGGCATGGACCAATAATCTATTAATCCCATTAAGGAAAATCTAGAAGTACTGTGGTTATTCACTGTTCTATTGCCTAGATTTCAGGTTGGCACTTCCCTGACTGAAGACCGTTGTATTTAACAAATCACTTTCCTAACTGTGAATGTCCAGGTATGTTAACTGTGCTAGGGATGAGGAAGAGCAGAACCTTGTCGCTTTCCAGTATCATGGGAAAATCTACTATAGAGTGTGCAGGGCCATCCTGCCGCATAGTGAGCTTCTGGTCTGGTACGGGGATGAATACGGCAAGGAGCTGGGCATCAAGTGGGGCACGAGATGGAAAAGCACAGCGCCACCCAAAGGTACCAGGCTGCAGCCTCACTCTGGCTAAAAGCTTCCCTTGGCTTCCTTTGAGATGACACAATTTCTAATAACCAGGAACTTTCATTTCTTATCCTGACATCTCCTCTGTCATGAATGCGCACAAGTAAATCCTTATGCTAGAGAGCCCATCTCGAGTGCAGATGTGATGAGGGAAGCTGGTGAAAGGAGATGCTGCAGCCACCACTGCCACTACTGGTTGGAATGAGTCTAATTATGGGAGCTTCCTGCCATCCCTAGAACAGGGGGAGTCAATTGTTTTTTTGTTAAGGTCCATGTTTCTTGGTCGAGGTCCAGACTCCAGAGAAACATTTTTTCATGTTGCAGTAACAATAACGACAATAAGTAAAAAGATTTCATGATCCGTTCAAAAGCGTCTGGTGGTCCAGATTTGGCCCGCGGTCCGCCTATTGACTACCCCTGCCCTAGGAGATGGTCAGACTTAGAGCACCTGCTGCCCTGAATCTCCCTCTTCAGTTGCCTTCTGCTCAGCTACTCGCACCACCTCCAACACACGCACATACCGGGGGATCCCCTAGCTCAGTGATTCTCAATGACCAGTCTGGATTGGCACCAGTCGCTGGGATCTCCCTGACACAGTTTAGGAAGGCAGCAAGCAGGTCCCTGATATCAAAATGGTTGAAAAATGCTGGGATCCATGAGGAGACACAAGCACTGACCTGCTGAGCAGTTCCCAGTCTGACAGCTGAAACAGCCCCTCCTGCTCTGCCCGTGACTTATTACCCAACCCTCTCCGACCCCAGCATCTGCTTTATATTAAGAGGTGAAGGCTGGGACTAAAAACAGTATTTAAAGTTAAACTAAGCAACCAGGCTAGAGTTTCTGACTGGCTATCACATGATCTGCACAGGGTGGCGAGAAGCCGCTTAAATGTTACCGTGGGTGCAAAGCCACCTATCGCCCTCACTGTATAGAATCCCAAAGTTCAGAAACTAATCCGATACAAGGTGTTTTTTGGTATCTTCAAAACAAGCTTAAAGGTGGGAGAAGGCTTTGGAGGATGGGGTGTAGCGAGGGGCTGGTCAAAGTCACTATGTCTCCACTGCCACTGAAATCTGTGGTAGAGCCTCTGGGGTGTCACAATGATCCTCAGACTAGGCCGAGCTAGCAGAGTACTGATCAGTGCACTCCCAGCACTTGGCAACAACCAGCAGGGGTTGTGCCTACAGCCTCTCCGGCACAGTGAGGGGGGGAAGGAGGCTCTGGGGGGTCACCAGTGTGAGGAGATGGTCTCTGACTTTAGCTCTTAAGTACTACAAGGATGTGCAATACAGGCTACACTACACAGCTTTTAGTGACATGCCTGCATTGCGACAGCCGTGCCACTAAAATTCGTGCAGCGTAGCCACTGTTTGTCGGCTCTCCTGCCAACAGAATCTTCCACTCCCAACGAGCAGCATTGTCGGCAGGAGTGAGCTGTTCACATTGGTGCTTGTCGTCGGCAAAACTTTTGTCTGGGGGGGGGCGGTTTAACACCTCTGAAAGACAAAACTTTTGTCGTTCGAGTGCCAGTGTAGACATAGCCTCAGAAATGCTTATAGATACAACTCTTTGCCATGGCTTACTCCACTGGCCTTGGGAGAGCGGAGTTGGCCGGGACCAGAACCCCCAACAGCTGGCAGAGGAGAGAGAGAAAATGACACTCCTAGCAGGGACCTAGAACAATCAGACACGGTTGTCCCAGCTTTAGGTCTGAATCTGGCTGACTGTCGGGGATAGAACTGAACCCTGGGGAGGAGTCAGCCATTAGGTCTGGTACTACAGGGAACGGTTCACTTTGTATCCTAAAACTAAAGTCTGAGTGTCACTAATTGTCTGGTGCTCTTGGCCCTTCCTACGTGGCAGGATAGTAGTGCAAAGCCTCTGGAAGGGCTAGCATGTTGGATGAATTGCCATTTCCTATCTGAATTCTGGTTTGTTTTTTGGACAGTCCGCGGGCAGGATCCACACTGCTATCCATGCCCTCGCTGCAGGCTGGCTTTCAGCAGCAAAGATTACCTCAGCCAACACTTGAAGCGTAAGCACCTGCCTACCGAATTGCAGACTGAAGAAGACGAAGGTGCTCTGGGAGAGGAATCTTGCCCTAAAACCAGAGGTCTTTCCTTCCCGGGGGATCCACCATCACAGCAGCTGCCACCAAACCCCAGCTCTCTCCGCAAAGGCACATGGGGAAAGAAACCGCATTTGCAAGGGCAGAGGGAAGGTGTGGGAGGTAGAGAGGTGTTTGGCTTACTGTCAAACCTGCCTCCACAGCAGTGGAGAGACACAACAGGGGAGCCACATGCACAGAGCGAAACAGGGGAGGAGGGAGGGGGCGGTCACAGACAGAAGTGGTATTCCTGCGGCGAGTGTGGGCAGAACTTCCACAGGCCATCACACCTAGTTAGACATCAGCAGAGCCACACAGGAGAGAAGTCCTATCCTTGTGGTGAGTGTGGGAGGAGGTTCAGCCAGTCATCTGACCTCGCCACCCACCAGCGCACCCACACG